AAGTTCAGGTGATCGTTATAAAACAAATGAAACAATTATCCATTTTTGCTAGGCCTGGATTTTTCTGCATTGTTGTCTCAGAATTCAAGAAGGCTAAAATGTTTCCTATATATAAGCTTTGTAGTTGGGTGATAAACTCTTGATGGGTAAGCAAGTGTTAATGTTTGTACAGCATGTTAACTAGGATAATGTTCTCACACATTTATACAGTTACACCATATTATGGCACGATAGTGTGTTAAATCGCTCACTGGACAACGAAAATCAAGGTTATAATTATGAAATCCTATATAGTAAATAAACTGTGTGAATATACGTATATTTCATACACAAAAAAAATCAGTTTCACTGTTAAATGAGTTTATCGTGTAGATGGCGCCCTTGCACGCTATACAAACTTCAATTTCTGTTTGTTTGTTTGTTTTTGAATTTCGCGCAAAGCTACACGAGGGCTATCTGCGCTAGCCGGCCCTAAAACATAAAAACATTGACTCTATCGAATAACAAATAGATTTTGGTTGTTTCTTAACCCAGTCGTCACAACTAGGATTTTTAAATGATTTACAATTATGTTTAATCTTGAATTTTTCTTGAGTTCCACAATTATATTAAATCGAATTAACACGTACAGGATATGATTTCACAATCGCTTTGCTGTGTTTCACAATTTTATAGGTTGAATGTGGTCTAGTAGTTGCCATAAAAACATGCTCCGCACTTTGGGCTATGGGTGTATTATAAAAGTGACAATTAAATCTCACTCCTTGGTCCGGCAAAAGCTGGCGGTGTTGACTAGCCTATCTTCAAATTTAGGGACGGATAGCGCAGATAATCCTTGTGTGGATCTTTGAGAAATCCAACAAAGAAACATAATTTTAAGCAATCCTGACGGAAATATCAGTCAATTAAACCGTGTAAACAATAATGGCCGTAATAAAAATATCGAGGTAACTTTTTCAGGAGGCTAATTCCGTAAAATTATTCCAAAGCTGACCAATGACTTTTCAATTGACTAAACGCGTCTGACGTTCTTACTCTCATGCTTTCTGGTATTCCGATAATTTGTTAAGCCTGATGAAAGTACAATTTTTTTTTTCTCTGCGTCATGCGAGTTTTACTAACGCAACAGCGAAAGTCGCAAGGTCAGAGGTCAGTTGGTTGTTTTGATCGCAGCTTTCCGATTTACAGAAAACGCACTCAAATTGATGTAGATATTGATAGCGCAGTTATTTTGTAATAACTTACGATCATGAGTAAAACTAAAACAATCCAAGATAAACTGTACGTTAATGTTTGTTTGTTATGGA